TTTGTTCTGTGTGCCAGTATGGTATAAGAGACAGGCGATTTAAGTCACTGATTACATGTTGGTAAAATTCAGATTTACAGACTTTAGTTAACCCTCTGGTCACTTCAAGGTTGAAAGCCATTTAGCCATGCTTATTTAAAGTTAGCATGCCAACCTAAATATAATCAGTCCATGACATGGCGCCCATTTTTTCATAAAAAAAAAATGTATTCCAAAAAATGGTTCATACATAGTGACCTGAATACATATATTCTATGATGAGCATGTTTTAATTCCTGAATTAAATGTACTTTTTATATTTTTGGGGGGACATAAAATTCAAAATGTCATGGTGATGCAACTGTCCTATCAATGCATTCGATGCATTCGAAACCAACATTCATGCTAATAACTTGCCACCTGTGTTTTCACTGGAATTTTTAAAAATTCTTGTTTTTATAATGTAATATAAAATTATAACATGTGGCTTCTCGCACTGCAAAAGCTTGGTATAACGAGCTATGTATTCATAACAGTTGTGTTTGAGTAGAATATAGCATAATATCTTAAGAATACAGCTGTGAAACAAAATCAGCGGTTTGGCCAGATGTGTCAGAGCGAGTGTGAGGCTCGGTGTGGTGGGAATTAGTGAGCTGTGGGAAGACAGGAACTGATTCTGTCATGGCTTGTGTATTATCACGCCCCCTCTACTCCGCTGCCCTTTGTACCCTCTAACATGGTGTGTACCAGTGTTGTAATGTGAGAAAATAAATGGGCCAGGGTTACAAATGCTCCAGACTTTATGCTGGGCTACACTTCCACACCATTCCAGTCATGGGTGGGCTGTAAATATGCTCACCATCTGATATGCTACCAGACATTTACTGTATTTTCATTGGCTGCATTTTGGATAAGGAATTCATAGCCAACTGGATCCCTGAGTTTAACTCGGTGTGCTGCTTGTCAACATCAAAAAAGTGCCCAAAAAATTTAATATGCCTGCTCTCTGACAACAACTGCCATTAATGACTCTCAGTATTATTCGACAAATTCCCAAAAATAATACTTAAATATGGTAATGAAGTACAATGGCGTTTGGGTTGTGACAAAGTCTTGTTTAAAGCTAAATGGAAGTAACTTTATCTTTATTCTCTCTGTTCTCACAAGTTTTAATGAAGTGTTAGTGCTGTTCCCGGTCTCATTCACTGCTGTAGCACCTCTCAGCGTCTAAGAGAGCAGAAGTACTCTGATTTTCAATTGACCCTTTTCATACGGACTTCGCCATTCGTATTTTCAGCAGGTGCCAGGTTTGGAATACGACTACTGAGGTTTGAGAGTGAGGCCTGGTCCCGGGTTTCTGATGGTGTGAAGCTAATTTGCGAGACTGCTAAATGTCTTCGTGTTTGTCAGGGATGAATGCAGCTGTGTGCAAGGGTTTGTGGAGATCTTTGATATGCTGCTGGCAGCCACGTCCAGGTTCAGAGAACTGAAGTTACAGAGAGAGGAATATGCGTGTCTCAAAGCCATGATCCTGCTCAACTCCAGTGAGTGTTCTTCTCATTAAAAGTTTTATGAAATGTGCATGTATTTTTACTGCTTGTAATTACTAAAACAAATGTATTTTTATCAGAAACAACGAATATGTATGTTTGTTGACTTTCCCCATAGAACAGACAAATCACAGTGGATTTCAGTCTAATGGTTATTTCTCCTAGACAGCAAAGAGATGAAACAGAATGTATTTACAATACAATCTTAAAAACAACATTCTTCATTTACACTCTCTTTACATTCTCTCTTGTACACACTGCTTTTTTTTAGTTTTTGCTCTTCACATTTTTTTCACGTAACCCATGATGCCATACTGTGGCTAGTAAATTTGAGGATTCAGTAATA